TAGCTCTTCTTCCGCAGCCAGTCGCGCCTTTAGAGCCCGCTTGAAGTTCCTGCAGGTTCGTTCAAGCTCCTGGTCTAATGGTAGTAGATCTCCCGACTGGCTACGTGTCATGCACTACCTGCACACAATCAGCAGAAGCAACCCATTAAGGCACACAGGTGGAAGAGATAAAATGCAGTAAAGAAAAAGCTAGAGTAACAGATTTGCACGTTTCCCAAATAACCTAGAGGGTCCCCGGCAACGGCGCCAAAAACTTGACATGCCAAAACACAACACCAAACTGCGACCAAGTGTAATCGCAGTCCGGAAATGCAGTAAAGTGGCAAGTTCTATTATCAACCCGGGGTCTAGATCTACTGCTTACTCCATGAGTATCTATTATCTAGCCAACTAAGTCAAGTGATTGTTGTTTTAAGCAAAAGCAGAAAGAAAGCAGGAATTGGTACGGTTTTCTCAAGCAAAGAAGAGTCACTCGGGAATGAGTCCCCCTAGCTCCTTAGTTAGGTCTCAATTGTAATTTCCCTTGGTTGATTTACTGTTGATTAGACTGCGGAAGATCCGACAGTAGCTTGGAATCTCTTAAGCTGACCAAGCCCTCTCAGTCTAACTACCCGACAGACGACTAGTCTTCACCGGGATAGAAACCTGAAGCAATAAGCACAGAACTCCACTACTGGAATTGGATTCCAGTACAAAGTAGTAAACTGGCTAACTCTCGTATAGCCAATCTCCTACTAACGAATGATGAAGCTCTAACAACCTAATCAGATTCTATCTATCTCAGGTTGCAGCAGAAATCAAGAAAAGCTTATCAGACTTCAATCAATTCAATAAACATGCATCATTCGATTAAAACCAAACAGTATAATCATCCCAAGTCATTACAATCAAATCCCTAACACATGGAACTAGGGTTCTTCATACCCAAGTGAGAGAAGGTTTCTACTCCATAGAGAGAGAGAGAGGAAAACAGAATACAAAGCAGTCATACTCATATCAATGGGAAGAATCTGCTCTGGGATGATGATTTCCACTCCTATGACGATCTCCAAGCTCGATTTGATGAAACCCAGCTCCAAGATAGCTTCTAGGATGTGTTCTTCGTACTTTCTCTCTCTAAGGCCTTGTTTTTGCTCTGAAAATCCGATTCTCTCACTTGCAGACCGAAATTGGGTAATAACCAGAAATTCCCGACTCACACGGGCAGGCCACACAGCCGTGTGGCATACCCAGTTGCCCGTGTGAGGTCAAAACGCCGCGTTCCGAGTAATTGGGTTTCAGGCTTCCCACACGGCCAGGGGCACACGGCCGTGTAGCTCACCCAGCCTGGCCGTGTGAAGCCTCGCAGAATTCCACACGGCCAAATTGCAACTTCACACGGCCGTGTGGGTTTTATTTGTGCCCGTGTGAAGGCTTGCACAATCCCACACGGCCTCCTTGGTCATTTGCACGGCCGTGTGAGTTGTGTGTGTGCCCGTGTGGCTTCCTTTGTGACTTGCCTCGCGCCCGATCTTTGTCCAATCGATCCTGAACTCGCTCCTAAACCGTCATTCACTTTCTAGGACCTGAAATATCTCAAACAAACACAACCTAGCGTGAAATCGGCCTAAAACACGAGAATCAACACCTCAGACGGCTCCAGAATAGGGATAAAAACATGTGCAATTAACGGCTTATCACCTACACACACACTTAAAGAACACAACACGTCTAGCACTAGCAAACACTTCACAACTTAACAAAAACAGAAATTAAAAGCTAGATTAACACCAAAGAAAATTTTCATGATAACGGACCAAAGTCCCCGGCAACGGCGTCAAAAACTTGACTCGCTCTGACTATCACAATAAAATCCCACCTAAGCTCCAAGTATAAAACTTAGATGAGTGCAATATAGGGCAAGTATGTTTAAATATCAACCCGGGACGGTCCATGTACCGCTACTTTGACTGTTTGAAACATTATCTAGCGGATTAGTTTTTGGTGAAAACAAAGGTCTAAAACTAAATTTCTTTGTAAAGGTAAAATGGATGTAACACTAGTTGAGAAAGCTTCACTCGGGTGTTACTCCCCCTAGCTTACAATTTAGACTTGAGGAATTGAACGACTGTGTTTGGTTAGGGGGTTATAAACCGCAGGGAAGTCTAACAAGCAACCAAAGCTACCCTCTTAGCCTCTAGGTTGAGGAATGAGATACGATCCAAACCACTAATGTGACCCTCTCACCCTATCAACTAAGGAGTGGTTAGAATTCACCCTCGAATTGGAGTTCGGACGACCACCCACAACCATACCCTAAGTGCTAATGCGAAATAGAAGGTTTCCCCTTTAACTAACCTAGAATAGGAGCATAAAATGCCCAAGGAAACCCATCTTTAATAGAGCCTCTTAGGTTAAGGAGGGTTCTCTCTAAAGTAGCTTAGGAGGCATTGAATGCCCAAGGAAACCCATCTCTAATAGAGACTCTTAGGTTAAGGAGGGTTCTCTCTAAACTAGTTTAGGAGGCATTGAATGCCCAAGGAAACCCAGCTCGAATCGAACCTCTTTGGATTGAGGAGGTTTCCTCTCTAAACTAGCCTAGAAGGCATGAAATGCCCAAGAACACCAATCTCAAATTGAGCCTCTTAACCTAAGGAGGTTTCCTCTCTAAAATAGCCTAGGAGGCATGGAATGCCCAAGAAAAGCCATCTCGAATTGAGCCTCTTAACCGAAGGAGGTCTCCTCTCTAAGCTAGGTTAGAATGGCATTTAGATTAATAGGCTTTCACACAACACAATAATTTCTGAATAATACCTCCACATTCACATTAAAACACAACCACACACAAATCATTCAATTCATACAAGCATTTACATAATTTTAGCTAGGGTTTACAAACACCCAAGTGAAAGAAGGAACTACTCCATGCTAGGAGAAGTGAAAAGACAAGAGAGGGAAAGGGAAACCATCAAGAAGATGCAAGTCTTGCTCCTTGTGCTGAAGAAATCCTCCTTTGGGGGAGGAATTCCCAAAACCTTGTTTGGAGATGAAACCCTACCTTTTCCTCTTCTTTGGTTCGTCACCTTGTCACTCTAAAATCTGAAGAATGAGAAGTTTCTCACACTAGGTCTCTCCTTTTGTTCTTCCTTTCATGTGGCCTTTTAAGTTGAGATCGGCCTCTGTTCACGGTCTTAGCAACCGTGAACAGCCTGGGACTCAGTAACCGGCAAACCCTCTCTGGATGCTCCTCGGTTCATGGGTTTTGGATCCAGTTCACGGCCCTGTGAGACCGTGAACTCCAACGTCGGGCCGTGAACATTGGCTGTCTCTGCCTCTTTGCCCAGTCTTTGCTCCTTTTTTTCCAACTTTCGACTCTGGGTTTGGTTTTACTAGTTAGGATCTAAAACACACTGAAACACAAGAAACCTCGCATAACACCAACCTTTTTGGAGTTCAATTGCAACAAACGTCAAAGAGAATCGGGGATGAATAGTGCAAAATTAGGCCCAAATCATGGTTTGTGTTTGTTTGATTTTTTTTTTTTGTATTTTGTGTTTGTAGGTTGAATCATGGATCCCAATGGGTTCTACAACATTTAGGGGTATCCACAATCACCCGAATGGGGTACCCAGGAGCTTCATGGAGTAACCAAGAGGGTGGAAGCAAAGGGACCGGGTTCTATGATCAACCTCCCTTCCAAGATGGACAAGCATACCAATGGGGATATCAAGAAGCTTCCCCATATCAAGAAGACTTCCCTCAACAACCCGAGGAGAACTCCAAGTTGGAGTTGACCATGGAGGCTTTCATGGGGCATTTGAGACCAAGTGCCCCTCCACAATCGGAGCCAAAGAGCCAATTGGAGCTCATGGTGGAGCAATTTTCCCGGGGCACCGACGAAGGATGCTCCAATGTGGATATGGAAATTGTCAACCCTATCGACTCATCCTTCTTACGGACATCAGAGGATATCCTTCAAAACACATAGTGGCTTGGAGGGATTGTTAAGCAAGCATGTGCACAAATTGCTCACAATCGTCTCCTACCGATTGAAGAAGAAAAGGAAGTCAAAGAGGCAAGCCATGAGTACTTTGGAAGAACGAGCTCTGGCATGGATTTCCAACCCCTCCCTCCTCTCGGTTAACACTAGAAGAGAAGGTTGCAAAAACTTGTGCACACCACCACCATTTCAAGAAAGGGAAGGTGCGAGAAGAGGTTGAAGAAGAGGAAGTGAGCTTTGAAGAGGAGGAAGATCTTGGTTGTTCCCAAGGGGCAGAATCAAATTTTGAAGAAGGAAGGGAGGTTGAGGTTGAAATAGAAGGAGCAAGTGAGGTCCAAGATGAGGACGAGGACATGGTGGATGAAGCTTCAACAAGTTACAAGTGTTTCCAAATCATTTCACACGACCCCGATGCACTTGTGGAGAAGGATCCGGTCGCGGCTCTTTGCCAAGCCAAGGCCAAACCATCAGCGATCCTTCTTGGTGGATGTGATGGGGGTAAAGCGATAATGCATTACATGGTGTGGGGCAAAGAGAAGAATGAAGAAAGAATGAAAGAAAGAAGAGGTCTAAAGGGTGGAGCCTCAAGACCATTCAAGTTTACGATCCCTCAGTCATGGATGCGTCTAATGCTGGTGATTTGAGACACCACTTCACCAATGAGAACCTCAACTCCAATGAGGTTCTTGGATGTACCAAAACTTGAAGAGCAGTCGTTCGGCTCACAACATTAAAAAAATGTTTGGTGGTAGGAAACCAATTCTATCGGTTTGCATTTCTTTTCCTTTCAATAAGACAAACTTCCGAGAGATTTTAGTATTTTGGACATATCCTTGATCTTTCGGATCCCCCTCGCCCTCAGCTACTGATCACCAACATTCACACTTTATCTGGTAACATTGTTCTACCTCCTTATTTTACGCCATTGAGGGTAATGTCGAGCTTAAGTGTGGGGGGGGGGGTAGTCTATTATGCTTGTGTGTGTAAATGAATGGTGTGATTTTGAATGCGTGTATCCTAGTTGAATGCCTAAATTTTGTTGGAATTTTATTGCTCCAAGCAAAACAACTTCTACATTTGCATGATCATAGTGGCACCTTTGGTGATTTGTTTTGAACCTCGTGGCTATGAGCATTGACGTATGGATGACTTGTTTGTGATTGAGAATAACCTATGATGATGACTGAGATATGCATTAGGGTTGTGTAATAATACAACCCTGGGGGTTGGATTTTTACCAAAGTACGCAGCAACACAATCAATCCAAGGATTGGATTGATTAAAACGAATTTCGAACCAATAACAAGGATGTTCTTGGGTGTTTGGATAAAACGGAATCAAACGTGCAATTCCACACCTGGGGAAAGGCTCGATTGATATAAGGATAGATCCCGGCCACGATCAACACGTTCTTGATCGATACAAGAGCTCAACGAGCTTGGAATCCACCAAAGCTCACACAAGTACGCAAACTTGCAAAAACCCAAAGGTTTCAATTCAATTCTTCAAAGTCTGAGTTTTACAACAAAATAGAAAGCTTAAATAGGCCTAGCTAGGGTTACACACGTCCCATAAACTCCTAATTACAGTCTAATACGAAAAGGAATAAAAAAACTACCAAAACAGTGAAATCCTAACTAAACAAGAAAAAGAAATCTGCCTTTAGCTCCAAGTAACCAAACAGCTTTGATGCCATCTTTGAGCCTCTCGATCGAAACCTTTCAGGTAAGCTTCCAATCATCCAATGCCATGTCTTTGTAGTAGAACATACCTACTCTCATGTGGTATAAGCCTCTGGACTAGAATCTCATCCATGCTTCTGGAATGGAGCTCCAAAGTAGGCTTCTTGAACACAGTTTCTGCCTTAACCAAATTCTGGCAGTTTTCCAGTTTTGAGGTAGCAAATTTGAGGCCTTGGAAAACAACCTTAATGACATCATCTGGATCCACAAAGCATACCATTGGAAAGATGGAAACTTTATATGCAATACAAACCCTTAACATTGAATTTCCACAAAGCCAATTGAGAGAATCATGCCTCCAAAGTATGTACCCTGAACACGGATTTTGACTTAGCCAAATTCTGCCCTTCTTCTTTCCAACCTTGATAGCTTCTTTGGCAAGTAATTGTGACTTGTAGAAGTGGCCAATTTGGATCATATCAGGCTCCCCCTCTTCAAAAAGCTTTGCCCTGAAAGCTTGATCCTTCTTCTTGTCAAAAGCATCATAGAATTGATCCCAAAGTGGATCGAAAGAGGGCTGCTCAAATATGTTTTGCTGCAGAATTTTCTTACCCAGAATCTTCAATTCGAAATTGGGCGTTTCTTGTTCAAGCATCGTCTTGACGAATTGATTGCTCCTACACCTTCCAAACACCTCCAGGAACTCGTCTACAGCGATCGTTTGGGTCGAATCACTCTCCATTGCTCCGACGAGAACAATAGCTTTGGAGTCACATTCCGACATCTGCAGAAGCAATTTTGACGAATTGGGTACTTTGATTTGAAGCTGTTTTGCCGCGACTCTTGTTAGTGAATTCATTCCTGGGGTATTTTGAAATGTTTCTACAGAAGTGGCTTCACTCGAATCATCACCAAAAGCCACAACGAGCTCATCGATTTGGGAACTCTGTTCTGCATTATAGCGGCAGAGTTTCGTAGTTCTTGTCAATGGGGAAGTTCGAGCATCTTCTGCCTTCTCTGGAGATTTCCCACGACTTTTCACTGTTCCTTTGGCCTCGATGATGACTTCTTTGGTTAAATCGACCTTCAATTCCCCTTCTTCTTCGTCGACAAAGCTGCTGCATTCTACACTCTGTTTTTCCGGAAGAAAATAGAGCTCTGAAACGCAGGTGTTGTATGCATCAATAACCTCGCATTTTGGAAGCTCCGACCTCGTTGAATCATCCGGGGGTTCTTTCCCTACAGTGAAGATCATTCCAGATGCAGAAGTCGATGGGTTTTGGGCGTCCAATCGATCCTTTGGCTGAGATAATTCAGCACTCTGTTTTTGCGGAATAAGACTGAGACGTCTATTGATGGCAGACTCGAGCTTGTCGATCCCACGTTGTATCCGATCAAATTGGGGTTGTAATGCCGCGTTGAAAGCTTCTATAACCATATTGTTGAAATCTTCCATGTCGATTTGCTGAGTGCCCATCGTCTGCTCTTCAATTGGAATTCGAATTACAACACTCTGCTGCTCCTCTGTTTTGTGTGTTCGGAATTTGTACGAGAACACAACCCTCTCGTTTCTTCCTTGCCCCTGTGATGCTCTAAAACACAACACCTAACAATGGCCAAGTGTAACCAATGGAAGGGACTGCAGTATAGTGGCTCAAGTGATAAATATCGAATCCACGGGTCTCTAGAGTTACTATTACTCAGCTTCAGTTTATTATTTAGCAAACCAAATTAAGATGAAAGAACTAAAACTACTCTAGCAAACTACAGTTAAAGTTAATCTAATTACAGGTTGGGAACTCACTTAGGTATGATTCCCCCAGCCACTAGCCAGATTAATGATTGATGATCTCTAACCTGTTTCACTTTCATTCACAATGCGGAGAATCCTTGACTAGACCTTGAGTCTCGACTAAAGGAACAAGGCCCTCTTGAGTCAATTGCCTAGAGGGACGTATCCTTCTCTAGAACAACTGATCAAGGCGTTCTGAACTAGACTCCCTCTATCGAAAGGGGTTCTCAATCGATACAAAGCAGTGAATCAACCCTCGACTAAAGCAATCGATCCACTACTATCAATCTATGGTGCTCTATTGACCTAATCAGGTATTCCCTCTCATAGAATCAAAGCAGAATCAATAATCTCGACTAAAGCAGAATTGAATCATGAAAACATGCATAGATTGAATATGAACTCAAGATTATCCAGTCAGAGTACTCATACAATCATCCAATCAAACAAACATAGCTAGGGTTCCTCAAAACCTAAGTGAAGGGAAGTTACTCCATAGAGAAGAGAGAGACTGCAGTAAGAATCTTCAGATGATCAGTCTTCAAGTCCGGGCTTGTTCCTCGAGCTTCCAAGGCGAAGAAATCCTCCAACTCCACTCCAAGAATGCCCTCAAATCGCCCTCTCTCTCTTTGGTTCGTCCCTTGGGTGTTTGGGATCCAAAACCCAGCTCTCCCTCCTCTTTGGTTCGGAATTTGGCTTAAAACCAGGAAATCCCGACTCGCACGGCCAGGGTGCACGGCCGTGCATATCACCATTCTGGCCGTGCAACTCAAAACGCAGCGTGTCATTTAGTCGAACTTCAGCCCTCTCGCACGGCCAGGGTGCACGGCCGTGCGAGCTTCAGGGGTTGCCCGTGCGTGTCCTCGGCATAAGGCGCACGGCCATATTGCTCACGTGCACGGCCGTGCAGCCTCCCTGGTCTGCCCGTGCAGCTTGCTCATCCTCTGTTTAATGCTTCGTTTCTCCCTCGTCCGGACTCCGAATCAATCGCCGTTTGATCCCAGACGCTCGTAGTCTCGTCCTCTTTCGTTTCATAACAAGCTTGCATGATTCTTTGTCCATAAAGTGAGGTAGAAATCCATTCTTCTTCAGGTCATGCCCGAGTTTCTTCTCTCGAATCGTCAATTGATCTCTGATTGACTTGAAACTTGCGCCTATGCTTCACTTTATGTGCTAGGACCTGAAATGGGACAAAGGAATACAACCTAGCATAAAATAGGCCAAAGACGCAATAATTCAAGCTCAAACAATCAAGAAACAAAGGGGAAAACATGTGCAAATACCGAGTCATCAAATCCCCCCACACTTAACTGTTTGCTTGTCCCCAAGCAAACCTAACTCAAACCAATGCAACTCTCCAGACCTCTATAGCAACAAACAACCCAGATCGTAGGTAGAGGACTTCCTAGATCATTTAGCAACTTACGAGGTCAACCGACGCACAAGTCATCTCATAACTTCTTCGGCGAGTCGGCATCACGGCAAATAGTGAACAGAGGACAAATGAATTGTGGATGAAGAGATTCTCAAAAACAAAAGATCATGGACTCACATTTTTCAAGGTGCTCTATTTTATTCTTGAAGATGGTTGGAACCCCCTTTTTTTCTATTTTGCTTGTTTTCTGTTATTTTTCTTTTCTTTTCTTTTCAAGGGTCCCAACCTGCTCTTACCGGCCATGCCAGGAGCGGATGTCTCGAGCCTCGTGCGGGGGAAAGACATGTAAGGGGGCTGGAGGTAGTAGGTGGAAATTGGGAACGAATTCCCGTCTCCCCTTACACACTTTCGCCCTATTCGCACGGGAGACGTTTATTTTGAAGCACATTTTCGAGCACCTGTTATTTTCAAAACATGATACAAGAGTCCATGACAGGTAGAAAATCCACAACACCACACAATTCAAGGGTCCTAAGATCACTAATTCACTCAATCAACCAACTTTATATGAAGAAGAAATGAGACTTCTTAAATGCATCAACATCCTCCATAGTGCTACACTACCTCCCTAGGTTGCATATTACTGTAAAGACTGTCAATTCAAAGCATACTGAGCAGGCAATTGCAAGGAAACACGTACTTGGAGCCCTCAAATTTAAAAATTTGGACAGTGGACTAGGCTCCAAGCACACAAACAGCCAAACATTCACCCGCATACATAATCGAACATCCCCCCACACTTAAGCACGACATTGTCCTCAATGGAGGAAAGATAAGGAGGGTAGAACGAAGTTACCAGATCAAGGGTGAATGATGATGAACGGGTCAAGCGGTGCATTCCAGAAAGAGAGAGTAATCAGAACACAAACACCACACAAAATCTCACAAAGGTCGAGTTATTGACTCTAAAATCAAATAGCAAAACTGACTCAACCGAGGAGAAATAGAGAAAGAAATGCAAAACGACTGGTTGGGTTGCCTCCCAACAAGCGCTTCTTTCACGTCGTGAGCCGGACGATGGCTCCTAAGTTTCGGTCCATGCTAGAACCTCCTTGAAGTTGAGGTTCTCGTCGATGAGGTGGAGTCTCAAGTCACGAGCATCTGGTGTGGCAGGTGATGAAGGCTCATGTACTTGATGCAGATGAAGTCTCCACCCTCGAGACCTCTTCTTCTCTTCTCTCGTCTCATTGCCCCAAACCAGATATGACAGTATTGATTGGCCACCATCGCGTCCACCAAGAGGGACCGATGTCGAGGTGGCCTTGGTCTGGCAAAGAGACACTGCAAATGGGTCCTTGCTAAGCAGTTCCTCGAAGTTTGGTGGAGATATCACATGTAACTCATGGCCGGTGCAAGCCTCTTCCACCTCAACTTCGTCCTCAGCCTGGACACCAATCGCTTCTTCAACCTCCCTTCCTTCTTCATGTGGTATCACCCCTGGGATATGATCAAGAACTCCTCCAGCTTCACTTTCGTCATCCTCCACAACTTCTTTCTGCACCCTTTCTTGCTCTTCTTCTTCTAGCACGGATTGGAGAGCAAGTTGCCAAGCAATTTCTTTCATGAGATCTTCTTGCATCTCCTCACTCATGCCCGCCTCTTCAAAGCTCAGTTTGGGGTGTGGGAAGGTGTGGTCGGCTACGACATGACAGGCCTGATCATGATCATCACGGGAGCTCTCCGTGACAACTTCAGTGTGTTCCACAATGCCCTTGTAGCCTTCTTCTTCCTCCTCCTCTTCTTGTAGGGTAGCAGAAGGGTGATCTGGAGCAGGTTGCGCCCAAGATCGCTCAAGATCATCGACGCTCTTCTTAAGGCTCAGGAGGATCTCATCTGTTTCACGATAGGCCTGGACACACTGATCCATCCTGGAGCATGTTCTCTCACAGTCTCGAGCATACTGCTCCATGAGTAACTCCAGTGCCGATGGCCCTTCTGGTTGTGGGAGAAATTCTTCTTGATAATGAGGTTGTTCTTGATATGCCCAGGGGTCCGGTTGTTCTCCGTAGTAAGGGGGTTGGTACTGGAACCCGAATCCATAGTCTTCTCCGCCTTGATTGCTCCACGGAGTCTCGGGGTAATACCACCCAGATGGTGGTGGATACCCCCAATGATTGGAGAAGCCATTAGGATCCATGATTCAGATCTGCACCAACAAAAACAAAAACACCCAAGTGAAAAGAAAGGGTGGAAAAGAAAAGAAAAACGCTAAAGTAACAAACTTCTGCCTTTCCTAATACTCTAGAAAGTCCCCGGCAACGGCGCCAAAAACTTGATGCTCTAAAACACAACACCTAACAATGGCCAAGTGTAACCAATGGAAGGGACTGCAGTATAGTGGCTCAAGTGATAAATATCGAATCCACGGGTCTCTAGAGTTACTATTACTCAGCTTCAGTTTATTATTTAGCAAACCAAATTAAGATGAAAGAACTAAAACTACTCTAGCAAACTACAGTTAAAGTTAATCTAATTACAGGTTGGGAACTCACTTAGGTATGATTCCCCCTAGCCACTAGCCAGATTAATGATTGATGATCTCTAACCTGTTTCACTTTCATTCACAATGCGGAGAATCCTTGACTAGACCTTGAGTCTCGACTAAAGGAACAAGGCCCTCTTGAGTCAATTGCCTAGAGGGACGTATCCTTCTCTAGAACAACTGATCAAGGCGTTCTGAACTAGACTCCCTCTATCGAAAGGGGTTCTCAATCGATACAAAGCAGTGAATCAACCCTCGACTAAAGCAATCGATCCACTACTATCAATCTATGGTGCTCTATTGACCTAATCAGGTATTCCCTCTCATAGAATCAAAGCAGAATCAATAATCTCGACTAAAGCAGAATTGAATCATGAAAACATGCATAGATTGAATATGAACTCAAGATTATCCAGTCAGAGTACTCATACAATCATCCAATCAAACAAACATAGCTAGGGTTCCTCAAAACCTAAGTGAAGGGAAGTTACTCCATAGAGAAGAGAGAGACTGCAGTAAGAATCTTCAGATGATCAGTCTTCAAGTCCGGGCTTGTTCCTCGAGCTTCCAAGGCGAAGAAATCCTCCAACTCCACTCCAAGAATGCCCTCAAATCGCCCTCTCTCTCTCTTTGGTTCGTCCCTTGGGTATTTGGGATCCAAAACCCAGCTCTCCCTCCTCTTTGGTTCGGAATTTGGCTTAAAACCAGGAAATCCCGACTCGCACGGCCAGGGTGCACGGCCGTGCATATCACCATTCTGGCCGTGCAACTCAAAACGCAGCGTGTCATTTAGTCGAACTTCAGCCCTCTCGCACGGCCAGGGTGCACGGCCGTGCGAGCTTCAGGGGTTGCCCGTGCGTGTCCTCGGCATAAGGCGCACGGCCATATTGCTCACGTGCACGGCCGTGCAGCCTCCCTGGTCTGCCCGTGCAGCTTGCTCATCCTCTGTTTAATGCTTCGTTTCTCCCTCGTCCGGACTCCGAATCAATCGCCGTTTGATCCCAGACGCTCGTAGTCTCGTCCTCTTTCGTTTCATAACAAGCTTGCATGATTCTTTGTCCATAAAGTGAGGTAGAAATCCATTCTTCTTCAGGTCATGCCCGAGTTTCTTCTCTCGAATCGTCAATTGATCTCTGATTGACTTGAAACTTGCGCCTATGCTTCACTTTATGTGCTAGGACCTGAAATGGGACAAAGGAATACAACCTAGCATAAAATAGGCCAAAGACGCAATAATTCAAGCTCAAACAATCAAGAAACAAAGGGGAAAACATGTGCAAATACCGAGTCATCACCCTGCGTTGAACGGGGCTCTGATACCACTTAATACAACCCTGGGGGTTGGATTTTTACCAAAGTACGCAGCAACACAATCAATCCAAGGATTGGATTGATTAAAACGAATTTCGAACCAATAACAAGGATGTTCTTGGGTGTTTAGATAAAACGGAATCAAACGTGCAATTCCACACCTGGGGAAAGGCTCGATTGATATAAGGATAGATGCCCGGCCACGATCAACGCGTTCTTGATCGATACAAGAGCTCAACGAGCTTGGAATCCACCAAAGCTCACACAAGTACGCAAACTTGCAAAAACCCAAAGGTTTCAATTCAATTCTTCAAAGTCTGAGTTTTACAACGAAATAGAAAGCTTAAATAGGCCTAGCTAGGGTTACACACGTCCCATAAACTCCTAATTACAGTCTAATACGAAAAGGAATAAAAAAACTACCAAAACAGTGAAATCCTAACTAAACAAGAAAAAGAAATCTGCCTTTAGCTCCAAGTAACCAAACAGCTTTGATGCCATCTTTGAGCCTCTCGATCGAAGCCTTTCAGGTAAGCTTCCAATCATCCAATGCCATGTCTTTGTAGTAGAACATACCTACTCTCATGTGGTATAAGCCTCTGGACTAGAATCTCATCCATGCTTCTGGAATGGAGCTCCAAAGTAGGCTTCTTGAACACAGTTTCTGCCTTAACCAAATTCTGGCAGTTTTCCAGTTTTGAGGTAGCAAATTTGAGGCCTTGGAAAACAACCTTAATGACATCATCTGGATCCACAAAGCATACCATTGGAAAGATGGAAACTTTATCTGCAATACAAACCCTTAACATTGAATTTCCACAAAGCCAATTGAGAGAATCATGCCTCCAAAGTATGTACCCTGAACACGGATTTTGACTTAGCCAAATTCTGCCCTTCTTCTTTCCAACCTTGATAGCTTCTTTGGCAAGTAATTGTGACTTGTAGAAGTGGCCAATTTGGATCATATCAGGCTCCCCCTCTTCAAAAAGCTTTGCACTGAAAGCTTGATCCTTCCTCTTGTCAAAAGCATCATAGAATTGATCCCAAAGTGGATCGAAAGAGGGCTGCTCAAATATGTTTTGCTGCAGAATTTTCTTACCCAGAATCTTCAATTCGAAATTGGGCGTTTCTTGTTCAAGCATCGTCTTGACGAATTGATTGCTCCTACACCTTCCAAACACCTCCAAGAACTCGTCTACAGCGATCGTTTGGGTCGAATCACTCTCCATTGCTCCGACGAGAACAATAGCTTTGGAGTCACATTCCGACATCTGCAGAAGCAATTTTGACGAATTGGGTACTTTGATTTGAAGCTGTTTTGCCGCGACTCTTGTTAGTGAATTCATTCCTGGGGTATTTTGAAATGTTTCTACAGAAGTGGCTTCACTCGAAACATCACCAAAAGCCACAACGAGCTCATCGATTTGGGAACTCTGTTCTGCATTATAGCGGCAGAGTTTCGTAGTATGTTAGCAAACCAATGGATGTTTTGGATTGGTTACAATTGCCACGCATCAAAATTTGGAAGTTGGAGTGAATGATTATGAATCTAGGTAGCCATGTGAGATTTGTGCCACTAGTTTTCTTCTTTTGTGATAGATCCCTCTTACCATGATGTGTAGCATTCACGTTGTCACTACTGAGGAAGATGGAGGCATAGGTTTAGTCCACGACCCAAAATTTGACTTGTCCTGATTAAATTTTCCCATAGTCATGCCTTTTCTGTCGTGTGTCTGAGGGTCGCTCTCGTGTTAGGTGGCTCTTGCTAATTGAGCTTGATTGAGATAGATAGAGAAACCCTACTTTCTTCGAGCCTATACAATTGTCGAGTCACCCTTGTGTTTGGAAGCTCCCATCATATCATTTGAGCTTAATTGAGGTTTCACATGAGTGATTTGTGCATGGTTTTGTTAAGAATGAAAAAGTGAGTGTTGGAGGAAGTTCTTAAAAGTGAGAATTGTTCACTAAGTTCAAGAATGTGGCATGTTTAGCTCTCCACTAGCCCTCAAGAAATAGAAAGAGAAAAGAAAGAAAAAGAAGCAAAAAATAAAGAGGGCTAGGAAGAAAAGACAGCCACCACAAAGTCGTGTATGCTCTAAAATGTGTTTCTTAGCAGTCAAGCTTAGGAACACGTACATGATAGTTTACCTCCTTCACTCTTGTGCTTGAAAAGTTTGCTAGCAAGTGTAGCAAAGAAAGTTTGTTATGAATGGTTTGGTGATTAGTTGTGGTTTGGAATTGTGGGAAGTGTGGTTTTTGGCCTATACTAGTGGCCATTGTATGTAGAAGAAGGTCCTAGTCGAAACCATAGAACCTTGTGTTGGTTTTAGGTTGAAGATTGTGGAACCTCATGCTATGCTTGCCACCACTAGAAAAGCCTTTTACCCATGTTCAAGACCCTAGCCAGTTATCTGAACCCGTGTCTAAGAGCTTTGGACAAGCTAGTATTGAAGCCCATCCTGTGAGCTCTAGCATTTAGAGCCTACCGTCAAGGTGAAGAGACGATAGGGCTGAGCATTTGAGTATGCAAATCTTTTGCATCAAAATGGTCCTCATCCCACAGGTCGAGAGTGAGTGATTCATGCCTCATGTTTTGTTCTTATCATGTATCCCAGTGAGGACCTAGTTTGCTCGATCGTTTGTTCCTAGGACTTGATCTTTATGCATGGATAACTGTGATTGGTGAGTCATTATGAAAGGTTATATTTTGGTTTGAAGACAAGGTGATACCTCTTCCTTTACACAGTTTTAATGCATTTGAATATCATTTGTGGTGGTTGTTAGGATTGTTGTTGATATTGTCCATATGTTGATGTCTAATTGCCATTCAGATTCATTTTTTGTGCCCCATGACCTGCCCTCAAATTTTTCAAGAAAGAGGTTGTAAGTGTACCTTGTTTTGTGCTTGGTTTGCTTGGGGACAAGTAAACGTTCAAGGGTGGGTGCGTGATTGGGCATAATTACACACAATTTACCCCTCATATCTTGATTGTTTGACTTGGTTATCATCTTTCCTCGACCTATTATACGCTAGGATGTGCTTCTTTTTCACATTTCAGGTCCTAGTATGTGTGGGAAGGTCCGAGACGAGTTTTGGGTCTTTCGGAGGTCAAAATGAGCCAAAACATGGAGGTTGTGCAATGTTCACGGGAAAGACTCATTTGTCACGCCCTGAGGGGTGAAAATCTCCCCTAGGGAGTGAAGAGCAAGACTTCATGGGCATCACTCATATGTCACACTCTAAAGGGGTGAAAATCGTCCTCAGACAGTGAAGCTTGCAAATTCCAGCAGCCATTGTGCGTCTCGCGGGCCTAAACATGGTCACGGTCCCGTGACCGTGAAAATCTCCCCGTGACCGTGAAAATAGCCCAAAATGGTGCATTTTTTGCCGAGATCACTCTCTGCTTGCTATGATCACCCTCGTGAATAGTGACCGTGACGTCAGCAGTGTCGGGCAAATATAAAGACAACAGCTGGGAGAGAGAAGGGGGAGCTGATTTTTTTAGGAGAACTTGGTTCTCTCTCTAAGGTTTCAAACCAAAACACCAAAGATGAGTTCTAGAGAGAGAGAGAGAGTGAGTTTTTGAGAGATCTTGGAGCTTAATTGGAGGCTTGGGTTGATCTTGGAGACGAGATTTCAAGCCTAAGAAGAAGAAGAAGAAGAAGAAGAAGAAGATATTGAGCATGTTTTGTGATCTCTTTTCTCTATATGACTTAGAGCTCTTCTCTTAGGTTGATGAACCCTAGGTCTAATTTTTAGGTTAATGTTGATGTATGTGACAAATCATATGTTTAATTGAGTTTATTATCTATTTGATGGATGGTTTCATGAATTGCATGAGTTCTACATGTCAATTGAGCTTTTGACCTAGGAGGAAGAAAATCCCCTTAGAGGCCACTTTTGGCATCTTCGGGTCACTCCTATCTTATGTTGTCCGATTCATCCATGAGAGAGTTGATTCGATAGACCTCTTATCGATGTATGAATCCCTAGGGTTGAATAGAGAACCTACCCATCCATCACTTCACAATTTCTGGTCAATCTAGAATGAGTCGATCTTATAACGATAGGATAGTGACTCAATTAGGTTAGGATAGTACGCAACATCGATCCAAATGATAGAACTAGGGGGATTCAAACCTAAAAGAGCTCCACAACATGTAATTACCTAGGTTAGTGGTTAGCTAGGTTAGTTAGTTTAGTTTTCCTAATCACTATCCTAGGTTGGCTAGATAACGAACCCTAAACCCGAAGTAAGGTAAGGCTAGATCCCTATGGTATGATAAATTGTATTAATTTCTTACCCTATGATACACCCGACATTCGGTTATATTTGGCCCTTCGATTAAGATGTGTAGTTAGAGCGAGTCAGTCAAACCGGTATACCATAAGCATTCCAACCAATTTTGTAACCACTATCGCTTGAACCCAATTAAATTGACTGACATGACAACCATGATAAATGCCACCAAATTTTAGAATTGATAACTCTTTCATTTCGGATTTAGGTCATCAACATTAAATTTTAACCGTATTATGAGAATCGTCCAAACCCGTTTAATTGAGGTGACATGCACATTATAGGGCTAGTTTGCCCTCTATAGTTTTTGCAAAAGAAGCTTTTGGCTTGAGCTTTTTGAGAATTACTTTAAAAAAAATAGTTTATTGTTTGGCTGAAAAATCATTAGAAGTACTTTTTAATATCAGAGATCATGTAAAATTACTAAAAAGGATTTCTAATACAAAATATGAATACAAGTTCTAAAAAATAACAAGTATTCAAAATGGATCTTGTTCGATTTCTTTTATATTAAATAGTATTGTTTTTTAATTATTTTATTTTTAAAATGATTTATATGAAAGAAAAATTATATTTTCTAAAATAAAATTAAAATACAATAAGAATAATCTTGTATTTTCAAAACAGATTTTCCCATAAGCTCCAAATTAGAACTTCTACTTTTATGTTGTACAAAAGCACTTTACAGCTTTTCAAAAGTCGAGCTTTTAGAGGTGTTTAGCCCGACTTCAACTTTTGGAGCAGAAAAACACTTCTAAACGCCTGACCAAACACTGACGGTTCACCCTTGCCTTTTACACAAGTGGTTGCATGTGATTAAAAATGTCCTCCTAAAGGCTTTAGATGAGTTTTTTTTTTTTCTTGGGTTCGCTTCCAAAATCTGTTGGTCATTCCTTGGTCTGTCTACTCCCAAAGAAAGATGCAGCGGAGGAAGTTAAGGTCGGGTAATACCTGTTTGGATAATACAGGCACCGGTAATACCCGTTAACAAAAATTCCTACAATAAACATTAAATTTCCACATTCCACCCCTACCCTACCCAGTTCCTGTTGCAGTGAAGCCGAAGAGGAATGTTAGAATGGAGCTCAGATGAATGTCATCTTGCTCTCGCAATCGTCTCTCATCTCCACATTCCACCCCAGCCCTACGTACGGTTGATCCAACCGATGGTTTATATCGTTTCTCATTTACGAAGAATTCCAAACTGATTCATTGCACTAGTATTCACATGGTAGGAGGAGATGGTGCAATAAGCATGTATTTAAACAAATACCAACGGTCTTGGTAAAATCAGATACATATCGTTTGACAGTCTGATGAACTGGATCAATCTCTGGGGAGAATTTTATGTATGCTGAAATTTGGTGGTTTTCGTTGAGTTTCAACCTTTTGTGGCTAGAGTCAAGTTGTCTGATCATTTCATTTCATATATACATTAAACCAGGATGCCCACAAAGTACTCCTCAATCGTGATTATCCTTTCCAGTGTAAACTCTGCTTCCTCCCTTTGTTTTAACCAATTCAGCACATAAGATTATCCAAGTCGGATACATCCTGAAAGAATCCAGGGTTATGCATGTTCGTTGAACTGAAATTCCCACGTTCATTGAGTTGTATGTTAGCTATATAGAATTTTTCTCTTCTCAATTGAACGGGTATGCATGGGTAGTTTGGGTACCCGTTATCCGTTCTGTACGGGTAACGGGTACCCCTTAACCCTTATGAGTTTGGGATATGGGATGGACTTTGCTCTTCAAACGGGATTGGGTACCCATTTCAAACGGAACGGGTATCCTGTCCCTTTTTGTTGCCCACCTCTACCTCAAACAGGATGATCCACTTTCTCCTTTTCTTTTCAATATCGTCATGGATCTCTTATCTCACATCCTGTATAAAGTTAGGGAGGCTTGAATAATATCGGGTTTGTGTATTGATGAGTCAAGTCAGGGAGGTGAGATGACACATCTCCTCTACGCAGATGATGTGAAGCTAGCGAGGAAGAAATCCTAAATATGACAGCTGTCTTGGTGTGCTTTCAAAGAATTACAAGTTTAAGGATCAACTTGAAAAAAAGCAGAATTTACCTGGTTGGTGAAGTTAAAGATATTGAGAGATTAGTTGAGATGGTAGGCTGCGATTGGGAATGTAGATAAAGTTGGATGGCTGGAAAGGGCGCTACCTGTAACACTCCGACCTTTGGATTTATGTTCGACCTTTGTACGTGATCGGTTGGGTTGACGGTTAAATACTAAGAGTTACAACCGAGGATTAAGAATAATTATTTCTATTAGTATTATATATATAACTAAAACAAAAAAAAGGGAGGAATTACTCGGCCAGAAAAAGGGCCGCTCACTCACTCCACCAAACCAATCCCCACTCCCCCCGGAAAACCCTCTCCCACCACTAATCTTAATAATCAGCGAGCATCAGGGAAATATAATTCCAATCCAATCTCTCCTCCCCTCTCGTACCCTAGTAGTGAAGCGGCGGCGACGATTCCTTTCGCTGCGAAGAGACCCGCGAAAGAAACCCCAAGAAGCGCAGCGACCGCCCCTGTTCCCGACCCCGATCCTATTTCTTTCGTGTTAGTAGGTAAGGATCACGAACCCCTTCACGATTTCTAAACTCGATTCATCGATAGTCTAATCCGAAGCTCGTTTTTATTAGCGGTGACATTTGAGGGTTCGATCAACAAGGAGATCAACGTCCCGGGTCATCCAACCTAGGCCTAGGCACGTTCTAGAGGTAAGCAAACTCGATCTCTTTGAGTTAGATCAATTAATTTGTGGATTTTTCGTGAGGGTGCAATTCTGAGTTTTTAGGAACAGACGTTCAAGCCTTTAGTGACACATTTTGGGTGGTCACTAAAGCTGCTGGGAAATTGCATAAACTTATTTTAAATGTTTTAAATTGTTTCGAGTCTCTGTGGATGATTGTTCCTGGGTTTAATAATTTTTTAAATTGAGGGAGGTCTAGGAGATGTCTGTGAATTAATTTGGGGATTTTTGAAATTGTTTGAATATTTCTTTTAAGTAAATAAAAATATTTCCGAGGTGCTTTTAAGGGTCTAATAATTTTCTAGGGTATAGGTACTCATGATTGACATAGGAAAATTATTATTATAATCTTTAAGAAGGTACAAGTAAGGTGAAAAATTCTTCCAAGACAATAATAATTAGGAAAAGTGGTCGGTTTCAAAGGGATTATTTCTAGAAAATTTTTAAAGAGGTACCCAAGATCGATCTGCGGTCAGGGTATCATCTGTGGTCGGTTTCGAAGTGTTCACAAAGATCGATCTGCGGTCATGGTATCATTAGTTGAGAGTGGCAGATAGTTCAGTACCCAAGACATCTTTTCGCACTAGGTACGGCCACTACGAATTCTTGGTCATGCGTGTCATTCGGACTGACCAATGCACCGACAGCTTTTATGACACTAATGAATCGGGTTCTTCATGAGTACTTGGACAAGTTTGTTATCGTCTTCATAGATGACATACTCATCTACTCGAGAAGTAAGGAAGAGCACGAAGAGCACCTTAGGGTGGTTTTGCAGAAGTTGAAGGAGGAGAAGCTATATGCCAAGTTCTTGAAGTGTCACTTTTGGTTGCAGGAGGTCTTGTTCTTGGGTCACGTGATTTCTGTACGTGGAGTTGAAGTGGACCCCAAGAAGATTGAAGCGATAACGAATTCGGCTCCACCAAAGAATGTTTCCGAAGTGCGGAGTTTTCTGGGTTTAGTTGGGTACTACCGGAGGTTTGTGGAAGGGTTCTCCAGCATTGCACGACCCATGACACAACTATTGCAGAAAGGGAAAGCATTTGTTTGTGACGAGAAGTGTCAAACGCCGTTTGAGTTGCTGAAGGAGAAGCTGACTTTTGCACCGGTGGTGGCACTACCGACCAGCGGTGGGGAGTATTCCATCTATAGTGATGCTTCCTACCAAGGGTTGGGTTATGTACTGATGCAGGATAAGAAGGTGATCGCCTATGCCTCGAGGCATCTACGGCCCCATGAGGTGAACTACCCAACCCATGAACTAGAGTTGGCCGCAGTGTTCTTTGCCTTGAAGTTATGGAGACACTATCTCTACTGCGAGACGTTCACCATCTTCACATATCACAAGCTCCAGTCATTGAGCACCTACCGTTGGAGATCCCGCAATGGACTTGGGAGAAGATCACCATGGATTTTGTGTATGGTTTACCGAGGACCCCAAGGGGAAATGATGGAGTATGGGTGATTGTGGATCGCTTCTCGAAGGTGGCTCATTTTATACCCATCAAGTTAAAGCCATGGTTGGAGGAGCTGGCTAGGTTGTTTGTGAGGGAGATAGTGAGATTGCATGGAGTTCCACTTAGTATCGTGTCTG